AAAAGGCCAAAAAAATAAAAAATAAAAAAATAAAACAAAGGGCCAGGCCTACCATGTTCCAGGCCTTTAATCCACTTCCAAAGCGGAGTGGTTAATCAACCTGATTGGCCGATGGGCACACAGGTGTGGCCAGAAGAGGCATGAGGTCACACAGGGGCGTGGTGAAGGCGTGGTCTTCCAGCTCATAAACCTGATCAATTTTATCCTGTATGCCTGCCTGCCACAGCTTGGCCTGAATGTCATGTGTCAGCAGAGTATTCGAGAGGTTGGCTAGTGGCACTATACAAATAACACAGAATAAAAATGTAGCATTAGTTCCTTTACAGGGAAATTTCATTTTGCTTGAGTTGACTTTGTTTTTTCCCCCTGCACATAATTGCTTTCCTTGCAGAACTCTATTTGAGGACCCTGAAGATGCTGTCTTTGTGAGGTGCATGAAGCACTCGCTCATAACATTCACATCAATGAACTGGGACACAGTCCCTACTCGGGAGGAAAAGTACCTTGAAGAGAGAAGCCCAGAGCCTGCTCAGATGCTCACAGTGAGCCTGCGATAACCCACGTGGCTAGGACGGCTGCCCGTATGGAAACAGGGAGACCAACAATAAAAAATGATTCCTACATTGTATGGTTTGAGATGTCATATTTTAACTTTACATTATAATCAAAGGCTTAATGGTTCCACCAAATAAAGAGTTCAACAGATTAAAAGTAAAAAGGACCACAGGGGCCAGCGCTGTGGCACACTGGGCAAAACCACTGCCTGCAGCACCAGCATCCTACACAGGGGCTGGATCGAGACCCGGCTGCACCACTTCCAATCCAGCTCTCTGCTGTGGTCTGGGAAAGCAGTAGAAGATGGCCCAAGTCCTGGGCCGCTGTACCCACATGCGAAGACCTGGAAGAAGTTCCTGGCTCCTGGCTTCAGATCAGCACTGGCCGTTGCAGCCATCTGGGGAGTGAACCAGCAGATGGAAGACCTCTCTCTCTGTCTCTCCCTCTCTCTCTCTCTGTAACTCTGCCTCTCAAATAAATAAATAAAAATCTTTTGTACAAATGGGATCTCAGAAGATGATTAATGTGTGTCTGGCTTCTTTCACGTGCCAATGTAAGATTTGTGGTTGCTGGTAGGCGTGAGTCCATGGTTCTCATGGCTGTGCAGCATTCCATCGCATGACTACCTGTAGTTTATTTCACCCGGTGCACTATTTTATATTCTCGCTTCTGGAGACATCTGCCAGCTCTGGGTGTGGACCAACGACCTGGACTCAGCCTTGCCAGGAGCCTGCTGCTAGGGAGAAGAGAACCCAAAAAAGCTTTTAGCTGTTAGCCGGTGCAGAGTGACGAAATAGGGCATTGAAGGTAATTCAAGCTCACTGTTGGCTTTCTCCAACGAGGAGCTAAATATAAAGTTTGTAAAAGGCAGAGGGACATTTTCCCTCCTCTGCTGATGCTTGGGAAACACAGATGAGCTGAGGGAGGGAGACTGGAGCCCAGTTGGGCAGGAACCGAGAGCCACAGGGGAGTGGGGAGGTGCCACGAAGAACCCACAGCCTCCACGTGTGGTGGGCTTTGATGTAGGGTTCTGTGCCGGCCAGAATCTAGAACCTCGGGTGTGCTCCCTGCCGAAGGTTGTGGCAACAGTAAAGAAACCCAAATTCGGTGGACATTCATGGAGGCAGTGATAGCAAAGCCAGAGTGATTTCTGTGGTTTCCAAGCCGAGGTGATGGAAGAGATAAAGGCATTCTCTCACTCTCTCTGTTGCTCACTCCAGGGTGGTCTATGTTCTGCTTTCTTGATTATTGTTATTTTTACATTTGGGGGTGGGGCAGGAGTGAGCAAGTGAACGAGGAAGGACTTTCTCCCCCTTATCTGCTGGTCCCCCTACATGCCCACAATGGCTGGGTCTGGACCAAGCTGGGAGCCGGAAGTTCTATCCAGGTCCCCGACAAGGATGGAAGGAATCCAGTTATTTCAGCCATCACTGCTGCCTCCCAAGGTCTGCAAAAGAGGAAGTTGGAGCAGGAGCCAGAATCAGAAACTGAATCTAAGGGTTTCTTTGGCTTTTTTTTTTTTTAAGATTTATATATTTATTTGAAAGTTAGAGTTACACAGAGAGAGAAGGAGATGCAGAGAGAGAGAGGGAGAGGTCTTCCATCACTCCCCAATTGGCCACAATGGCCTGAGCTATGCCGATCCAAAGCCAGGAGCCAGGAGCTTCCTCTGGGTCTCCCACGTGGGTGCAGACACCCAGGGACTTGGGCCATCTTCCACTGCTTTCCCAGGCCACAGAAGAGAGCTGGATGGGAAGAAGAGCAGCCAGGACCCAAACTGGCGCCCATATGGGATGCTGGCACTGCAGGCGGTGGCTTTCCCTGTTAGGCCAGAGCGCCAGCCCCAACCTAGGGGCTTCAATGTGGGACCTGGGCATCTCAACTGCTAGGTTAAACTGCCACCCCTATATTCTGCCTTCTTTGCAAAAACTAGTGAGGGACGAGGCCTTCTCTCAGTGGCCTTGTGAGTGAACCTCCATAAAGCAGAGCCGCCAAGCCTTCACACCTCCAGGTACCTGCAGCCTGGCTGAAAGTTTCATTGTGCCATCTTCCACCTGGAGAAAGCCCAAGCCAGAATGAGCCCAGCTCAGCCGCCCCTGGATTTCTAGCCTGGAGAAATGATTTGTGACAATGTGGATTGGTGTTTCAAGCTGGGAAAAATGTGATACACAGCAATAGATAAGTAATACAATAACCTAGCTTAATCCACTGTGCTTTGTGGAGTCTTTGCAGAGTTCCAAGGGGACTCTCACTGTGTCATTTCCAAGAGCTCGTGAGAGACTCAGGGTTCAACAGCAGCTACAGCACTGCTGCTGCACCCATCCTGGTATGGAAACTGAGCTGAGTATCCGTAGGCCCAAGAAGCAGGAACACACTGGGTACTGGCAACCCACTCCATGTTGGAAACGGTGTATTTGGGATCCAGTTGGCCCCCACATTACATAAACAGTATTAATTTTTTAATCAGAGTGCAGTAAGTTGAGGATGGGATACTGTAATCTGATTAACCACCAAGAAGACAGTAAAATAACATGTAGCTTCTGACGCTTGTATTACCACAATCCCCAAACAAGAATGGCAAGTTTGTTCTAAGGAAAAAATGTCTAACAAAAGTCTTCAGTCCAGAAAACCAATGGGAACATGGCTCACTTGCAGGAAGAAAAATATCTGTGCTAAAGTGGATTCCTCAACACTAGGTATTTTTTATTCAATCATTTAAGGCTAGGAAGTGGCTGTGATTGGGAAACACTGTACTTTTTTTAAAGATTTATTTATTTATTTGAAAGACAGAGTTACACAGAGAGAGGAGAGGCAGAGAGAGAGAGAGAGAGAGAGAGAGAGAGAGAGGTCTTCCATCCGATGGTTTATTCCCCAAATGGCCGCAATGGCCGGAGCTGCGCCGATCTGAAGCCAGGAGCCTCCTCTGGGTCTCCCACGTGGGTGCAGGGGCCCAAGGCTTTGGGCCATCTTCCATTGCTTTCCCAGGCCATAGCAGAGATCTGGACAGGAAGTGGAGCAGCCAGGTCTCAAACCGGCGCCCATATGGGATGCTGGCGCTTCAGGCCAGGGCGTTAACCCACTGCGCCACAGCAGGCCCCATGGGAAACATTGTATTAAGTACTATTTCAGGGAAAATGCAAAAGAGAAGACCTCTTCCATCAGTCATGTACGACTCTGTCAAAATGGAACACACTATCATCAGAGGTGTTTTTACTTGTCGTTAAACAACAGGAACCCATTCCAGTTGGCTCATGTGGGAACAAACTTACTTCAGGATTTGTGTGTAGGAACAAACACTGACCCACAGACCTACAGAGAACCATGGCGAACAGCTGGGGCTCTGGAATTGGGTCTTTTTCAAGATTTACTTATTTGGAAGGCAGAGCAACAGAGAGAAAGAAAAAGAGATCTTCCATCCATCTGCTGGTTCACTCTCCAAATGGCCCTCTACAGCTGGGGCTGGGCCAGGCTGAAGCCGGGACCCCGAAACTCCATCCAGATCTCCTACATGGTGGCAGGGGCCCAACGCTTGGCCCATCCTCTGCTGCTTTCCTAGGCGCATTAACAGGAGCCGAGTTGGAAGCAGAGCAGCCAGGACTTGAACCAGTGCTCTGATATGGGATGCCGGCATTACAGGTGGTGGCTTAATCATTGCGCCAAACGCCAGCCCCAGACCTCTCGTATTTACTACTCACCAATAATAAACTCTGAAACTGATTCAGGCAGGCAGATAGGATCAAGTTGATTAGAACTGTGAGCTGGAAGACCACGCCCCCTGTGTGATCTCATTGGCTTACCTGCCAATCAGACCATGTAAGCACTCCCCAGGCCCCTCCCTTGTTGTCCCCCACCTCTCAGCTTCTGCTTTCCTGTCTGCACGCTTGCTCCATGTGGCTCCCAGCCTGCTCTCTGCCTGGCAAGGACCCAGCTTGTGTTTCTGGACTTCTTTCTACCCTAAATAAAGCCCTCACTTTGCTGTGCATTTCTCTTTTTTTGCCAGGCAGAGTGGACAGTGAGAAAGACAGACAGAGAGAAAGGTCTTCCTTTTCTGTTGGTTCACCCTCCAATGGCCGTGCCGATCTGAAGCCAGGAGCCAGATGCTTCCTCCTGGTCTACCATGTGGGTGCAGGGCCCAAGCACTTGGGCCACCCTCCACTGCACGCCCGGGCTACAGCAGAAAGCTGAACTGGAAGAGGAGCAACTGGGACAGAATCCAGTGCCCCGACCGGGACTAGAACCCCGGGTGCCAGCACCGCAGGCAGAGGATTAGCCTATTGAGCCGCGGCACCGGCCTCCTGTGCATTTCTAAGTAGACGTTAAAAACGTACCATGTGACTGGTTTATTTTTAGCTGATATTCAAAATTCTTATCTGAACAGATGGCAAAAACCCACCAAATTATTAATATTTAAAATTATCAATAAGGCTGGCTGTATCAAACCAAGATGAGCTGTTTGTATCAGTAGGCACAATTTATTTTAAAATCAGCACGAAAGCAGCCTCGGAGACACAGCACTATCTTCAGACATCACATTCTAGCTCTGCTCAGACACCAGGGTGGCTACACGTGGATGGTGGCATCTTTTCTAAATGAGCCGTCAGTCTCTGGACAGCAGGATCCCCCTGAAAAGCTTGCAAGGAAGACAGAGTTGGGCAGAGTATGGCACAGGAATTTGTTTTACATTAATTGTGTACATACTGTGTTTAGTGCATCATTTAATCAGAAGGTTCAGGAACAATTTTTTTTTTAAGCACATGCTGAGATATCCTGGCGAGGCCTTCTTTCTTTCTGAGGCATCTGACATTTCTGAAGGTCCCGATGCTAGGAACTGCCTCAAGTTAGACTGCCCAGGATAATTTCTATGGAAAACTAAAATTAGCTCGGCTGCGGCACTGAAGCCTCCAGCTTTGCACCATCTCGCTGCGTCTTACAAAGTGGAACCTTGCTCCTGTGAACGCTCTTTCGATGACCTTGATCCACACGTAAGTTACAGTTTTCCAATGTTCCATGTCAGGCTTCGCGCCTCTGCCTTCCCTGAAAATCTCCTCTCCCCCACGTCCACTCTGCTGGTCCCTTTGTTCCCTGGAGGTAACATTTTCATCTTACAGGGGATTTATTTTCCTTTGAGAGCCACGGCTGGGGAGCCGGCCTCCAAAAGGGCCTAGACATGGTTTCTCTGGGTTTTGAAAGCAAACGTTTTCCATAGGGAATATCTGTTCTATCGTAGAACAGCCACGAAGCAGACGTGAGGGTGAGGCCAACAGGCTACCGGAGAAAGCCTCTATTCTACGCAATGTGGAGTCCCGCCTGGGGCCATGCAGGTGTCACGGGCATCAAGGACACAGTCACAAGAGTTTCCGGGCTGCCAGCCAGGGTGTGGGCCATCCGTGCAGACACCTGCAGTGCGTTTCACTCCTCAGACGCCTGTGGATCTGCGGGGCCATCCCGTCCGCCTTCCACCCCAGCCTCACTCGGGCGAGGCTCTTTCTCCCCGTCCACACAGTCCTTCGGACTGGGATCCTCCTGGGGGTCTCCCACTGCGGCTTCTGGCTGCTCTTCATCCACACAATTGGAATTGACGTCAAGTTTGCCATCTGAGAAAAAGAGAAAGTATCATTGGTTTTCCCCTACCACGTGTCAGACACTCTGCTCAACACTTGATTACATCTTTAAACCCCCCAACGTCTACCCGAGCCACCTCATCATCACTAGGACCGCTGCTGTCATCATTTACAAACGGGGATCCCCAGAAGAGAGGGCTCTGGTGATTGCTCCAAGCTGCCCAGCGTAGCAGTCGGACGGCACAGCGAGCCCAACCCAGGCCTTCAGCTCCAAAGCCAGGCCCCCGAGTCAGGCCTGTTGGTGGGCACTGCGCAAACTCTGCATCCACATTCAGCTTTGCTTTGATGAGCCTGATGTGCCTGGGGGGGCCAGTGCCTGCCTTGGCTGCTGCTTTTCTGTAACTGCAGGCAGTGGGGCGTGGTCTACGTTTGTGAAGCAGCAAGGTGTTCAAGACTGAGAGCAGCACCAGGGCCGCGGGTTGGTGCTGGGGCACTGGGAGCTCCCGTTCTCCCACAATGCCATGTTCTCCTGAAGGTTCGCTAGCACAGGCAGAGCTGCTCTGCTGTCCTCAGCACACGGCCTGAGAAAGTCTGGTCTGCAGCACGGGGTGAGGCCGGGTGGTAGGGAAGCCTGACTGTTCTCCTAATGGTAAATGGCCGAATTTTGTACACATCATTCGATCCTGCTCAGAGTGGTCCTCAGCCCAGGAGCAGAGGGGATGGGGTGCCTGCAGCAGGTGGAGACGCATGTTTCCAAACCCCACACACTCTCACTCCAACGTGAGACTCAGCGCTGAAGGAACTCGCTCTGTTGGCTGAACATCGAGTCCCACCAGCTCTCAACTGCAACCCACGGCTCTGACACCTTGCAGAAACTCCATCTGAATCCCAGATGCGCAATTTAAGCTGCCAGCACTAAACATACTCTGCGGTTTCACCTGCAGTCCTGGAATTTAATTAAGAAACTTGGAGGCTTCTGAGCTTAAGCATCTTTGGGTAGCCATCACAGGAAGTTTAATTATTCTCGTATGCAAAGATTTCAACAGCCTTGATGAGCAGAACCTAAGGGAGCACCCACTGTTCCAGCAATGTCTCCTGGGTAGAACACACCACTGGCCCAGGAATCTGACATCTCGTTTTCCAGTGACGTCTAGGCCGACCCTATTCTGTGCATCATCCCAGGGAGCCAAGGATGTGCAAGTGGGATCCTATATTGGCCAGCCCTGAGCTTCCTGGTCCCCAGAGAAGACCCAGGCCCTGTGCTCTGTGCTCCAGGATGGGTTCAGGGCTCATATACGCACTGGTCTCCTCTCGACTCTTCTCTTTGGCAGCTTCTGATTGTTGCTTCTCGTAGACGTCCTTCAGAGTCTTACAGATTTTCTTATGCGCAAACCAGTGTGTCTTCTGGCAGGTTTGATCACAGTAGATTACCTGGAAGCAATGGCGGGCTCACTGTCATTTCAAGAACTGTGATCATGCAGTTTCCCAACTATGACATTAACTCAAGAACCATGCTGCTAGAATACTAAGTTTTGCAAGCTTTATTTTGAAACCATACTATGTGGCTGTGAGTATTGATCTCGACTTTTATTTAATTTTTTTAAAGCATTCAGTTTTAATTAATGAACTTATTTTCACTTTATCTGAGAGACAAGGAGAGAGAAAGAGACAGAAAGACAGAGACCTTCCACCTGCTGATTCACTCCTCACATTGCTGCAGTAGTCAGGAGTGGGCCAGGCCAAAGCCAGGTGCCTGGAACTCCATGTGGGTGGCAGGGCCCTAATATTTGAGCCATCATCTGATGCCTCCTGGGGTGCTTGCTCATTAGTAGGAATCTGAATGGCAAGCAGAGGAGCTGGGACTCAAATAGGTAGTCTGGTCTGGGATGCAGGGATTCTAAGCAGTGTCTTAACTGCTGCTCTAAATGCCCAGCGCAGATTTTTAGCTTATACTTTCCATAATAAATATCCAAAGATGCCAACAACGGTTTAACAAGACCAAACTGTCTACCCTAACTGGCACAGTACAGTGACATATGAGATACAGCTGTAAGTCCCAGAGGACACCAGCACTGCAAAAGAGCAGGAGCAGGTGGAGTAGAGGCAGGCAGACTCCAGGATCTCAACACGGCACAGGACGGCAGAGCCAGGGGAGCCCCGGGCAGCAGGGACTCACTCGGGCCGGGGCAGGGCAGACGCAGGAGTGGGAAGGAAGCATTCCAAGCAGAGGGTTAAGCATCCTGTCCACCACACAGGAGAAGTGAGCAATGTGTTCAAGGACAGCTGCAAGTTTCTGCAAATGAGTGTCTATTTATGTGGTGGTAAAGAGGTGGGAATGCAACACAGCAAACACTTATTATATGCCAAACGCTGTGCTAAGCGCTTAGATGTGGAGAGTGTTACAGACTGCCTTCTTGGCCCCAAGTCCCCCTCACTCAGCCCTGCATTCACAGGGTTTCCCAGGTGAGTTCAAAGTTCTTTGTAGTGAAGGGGAGGAGAGCTGTCTTTAGACTGGACTCCGGTTTGGACGGCAGGATGGGCAAGAGGAGGCCTCAGGTGGCCTCGTCTGCTTCTATTTGCCTGCCTGTTATCCCATCACTGCGCTGAGAACCTGCTCGGCCTGGCCCGCCAGCCCAAGGAGGGAGAGAGGCACAGGTGTGCAGCCATACCAGCCGCGGGTGGGGAACACCAGCACGACAGAAGGAACCAAGGGCTGCCGTGTCACGCCCCGGGTTTTAGAGTGTTTTGTACACAGTGATAATGAAACAATATAGACAGTCTCCTTTCATTCTTACAACCCAACTCCATTTCATCCATAAGGAACCGGGTTCAGAGAAGTGAGTAATTAAAGATGATGACGCTAGGAAGTAGGCTGTGGCAGAGTGTTGGGTTTCATGCGAAGAATTTCAGTCTCTGAATCAACAGGAAATTACCCTGCCCTGGGGGAGCCGAGGACAGACACACGTGTTGCGTGCAGTTTGTGGGTGAGAGGACACAGAGAGGTGGCAGAAGGGGGCAGTGCTGTTCCCAGGGGTTAAAGACAGTCCAGGGAGCTATCAAACTAGCTGATGAAGAGACAGCGCTGAAAATCAATCACAAACAAGTTCAGGCCGGATATTTGCGAGTTGTCCTAAGAGGCTTTCATAGCTGCACTGGCCTCAGCCCCCTTGTTCTACAGATAATCTTTATCTCATTTTCTCATATTCATTCATTCACATCCTCTCATACGGTCACACTACAGTTTTCTTCCCAAACCACTCTCCAAGTATTAGATGCAATGCTTTTATGTATCACATTGTACTAGGAAACTAACCTGTTATGTATCTGACTATTAAAACTCAACTATCGGCTTGGATACAATCTAAGCCAGACGGCAGTGAATTTAAAAGAACCCCATTCTTACCATTTTGCAAACTGAACACCGTTTACTTGCTCCTTTTTCTCCACAGGTGGTGCAAAATTCAACATCCACAAAACCCACCTGCCCAGTGATGGCTTGGGTGAGGACGGAGAATGCAGTGGGATCGGAGCCCTGGAGAGGCATGAGGAGAGGAAAAGAAAGTTTGTAATCACTGTGGAAAGAGCACAGCGAGCCCAGGCCATGTGCAATGTTGGCTGGAGACATGCACACAAGTGGAGAAACCGGTAAGGCCGGCGGGCACATACTTTACAACAAAAACCTTAGCAATTTTCTGTACAAAGTATATAGGAAGTCAGTCACGGGTCCCAACAATTGAAGAGCACCAAACTGGCCATATTCTGGAATAAAAGTATTTTCGGGTAGGATATTCAGTTAGCCCACATGGCTTTCAGATGATATAGGACAACGAACTCAGAGTAGAATTTTTTCCCGAGAACTGACATGCACAATATTCACATCCTGTAGGGCACACCCATGAATGTTTAACCATCTTAATTCTTGAATGTTTGGTGAGATTTAAATATTGTAAATAATTTCAGAATTTAAAAGTATATATCTGATGTTAGTCTACAATGCAAATTATCACTTTTATCACCAACTGTTCCAAACTCTGTAATAAACATACACAAAATTTCATCAAAGTCTTAAGAGCCCAGCATATGAAAAATTATTATTATAGGGCTACTGAAAATTAGAGTGCATCATAAAAGAAGATTGGGACATATTTTTGTGAATAATGTTTATCTGAGATGATGCTATTAACATAGCCTTTGCACAAACAATTACAGGTATCAATTTTTCTCATCTAACAATTTTTTTTTTTTTTTGACAGGCAGAGTGGATAGTGAGAGAGAGAGAGAAAGACAGAGAGAAAGGTCTTCCTTTTTGCCGTTGGTTCACCCTCCAATGGCCGCCACGGCCGGCGCGCTGTAGCCGGCAAACCGCGCAGATCCGAAGGCAGGAGCCAGGTGCTTCTCCTGGTCTCCCATGGGGTGCAGGGCCCAAGTACTGGGGCCATCCTCCACTGCACTCCCTGGCCACAGCAGAGAGCTGGCCTGGAAGAGGGGCAACCGGGAAAGAATCCGGCGCCCCGACCGGGACTAGAACCCGGTGTGCCGGCGCCGCAAGGTGGAGGATTAGCCTAGTGAGCTGCGGCGCCGGCCCATCTAACAATTTTTTAATGTGGTTCTCAAACTTGCTTGCTTATTCCCAATCAAAATGTTGCCACTTGTAAAATTTTCATGAGTCTTTGCCTTTCTCCTCTAAGCTATCTGTTCCTGTATTACCTCATCAGCCGTACACAATGGAGATGTTTACAGAGTCACCTGGGAACACTGCCCTGGCTGCTTTGCATACTGAAGACAGTCCAAGTTCAGGATGATAACCAATAGGTTCAGGAACAGTAGGGCCATTTCCCAAGTGTCTTGTTCTTTCTGAACCCAAACTATTACGGCTGGGTTTGCTCTCATGTTAGAACACTAAAAATTCTCTTCCGGAATGAAGATTCCACAACAGGCGGTGGGTGGGGAGTGGGGAAGGCAAACCAGGTGAAATGCAGCCTCAGCTATCAGATCCTTGAGTGACTCGCATTAGGGATGCACATCTACGGCAGCTGCGCTCAGATGCAGGCGGGCATCAGAGGACTTGCTGACAGGTCAGATCGGTCCCTTCTGAATCAGAGGGGTCCAGCACCTGCAGTACTGCCAGCACCCACCTGTCACTCTAAGGCACACTGCCAAGTCTCAGAATGGCTCTTTAGAGACTACACTGAACACCTGTAAACCAACACACTTCTGCTTTGGAAGTAGAGCACTGCATAGGATGGCAGTCGGGCTCATAAACCAACAGAGTCTCACGCTCAGCAAATGTTGCAGCAATGGCATTTTCACATGCAGATTTCCCCCACGACAGTACACATCAAGAGCCACACAGAACCCTTCATCCGCTTTGTTAAACAACAATTGCCTTAGGTGGCAGAACTCCTCCCAGAGACAGCCCGAAACAAACAGGATGATTTATCCCATGTACGTGATTAAGATCAGAGATGCGAGTCAGCCTTCCGGGAAGCTACAATACACACTGCCGATGGGGAAAGCAGTAGTCTGCTATGCAGCCGCACCACCATGGCTCACGCTTCCCGTGGAGCTTTGTGACAGGCAGGGTGGGGGGACTGGCAACCTTGCAGCAGGGGGGCCCTGGCATCGGTATATCCAGAGAGCAACAGAGCTGATTCTTACAACAGACAGTTCTGAGTGCCATGGTGTCAGGGGGAGAGCTTGATGCTACTTCACAGGCTCACGTTCGTGCAGCCTCGCCAAACCCGCTGTGCAGTCGGTGCTGGCTGCCTGGGACAGTCACAGCCACAACAAAGATTCCCAGAGAGCAGAATCTGTAACTCCTAAAGAACAAACTTAAAAGGAAGCCTTCTAAAACACATGAGATGCTATCTTAACCTTACTATAAACCTCTTTTGGATGGCTCAGATGGCTAGGATCAGCATTAATCATGAGACTCCATAAACCAATTATATTATCCTCTGTGGCAGGCTACAATGAATGGCTGACCCTGACGCTGGCCTGCTTTGACTTTTTTTTTTTTTTAAAGAGCACTCTGGGCTCCTATTTTGAGCTTTGCTGTCCTTTCCCATGTTCCCACGCAAGGAGAACATCCCCAAGCACTGGGTAGCACGGGAATCCCTCCCAGGAGCACTCTGACATGCCCCAACTCCCCCCTGCCAGCTTCCTGGTCACGTGACACAGGCAGAGGGTTCACAGGAGAGCCTAGGATTCCCATATATACATCCCCTTATTCTTCCTACCTTATAGGGGTGGGAATGTGAGCCTGGAGACAAGGCAACAAACGCACTGCAAACTTGAGGTTTTTTTTTTGTTTTTTTTTTTCAAACATGAGGTCTTAAACCTACACAGCTAAGAAATATTGGGTGGAAAGGGGGCCGTGTTTGGGTCCCTGGCCCATAGAGCCACTGTCCCAAATCTGGGCCACCCACCTGAGAATATGTCAATACATAAGCCCCTTCCTATTTTATCCACGTTGGCTTGGAGTTGTATGTGTAGTCAAAACACATCTGCGCAGGTGTGGTTCACAACAGGTGAATTCTTAACGTTTACAGAAGCACCCAGGACCCACTTCAGCTTTCCTTTTCCACACTGAGAATGATCCGGCAAGGTAAAGAAGGGAACTAAAACTGCCCCAGGGAGGAAGGAAGCCATGGATGGGCCTGGTCTCAGCATCTACTTCCTGCCTGATGGACAGAAGGCAGAAAAGGGATTTGAATGGAAAATACCCAGGCAGACTGAGCATGGATAAGGCGAACACGAGCCTCTTCAACATGAGGCCGGCAGAGAGAGCCTCATGACATGCCTCCACTTGTGTAAACACAGAGAACAAAAGGGCAATCAGTAATCTGAGGAACAGATAATAAAGTGAACAAAACTTGCTTCCCACAGCTGGGAAATGTCAACAGGGTTTGCAAGGATGGAAAATTTCTAATCAGAGGGATGGAGGAGGTGCCATACGGGGAGCTGAGACACACTGCGTGAGGTTATCAGGAGTCCCCACCAGCCTTCCCACAGCTCCCTCAGCTCCCTTGCCCCGCGCCCCTCCCCTCCCCCACCTCCCACCCAAGATGACCCGACTGGGCGTTCACCTAGTGCAAGACTCCGTACTGGCAATCACGGAGCTACAGGTGTGGGTGGATGCGTCTGTACTACCTAGTGCAGGTACACTCTACAGGTTTCATGGAGGAACTGAATGCGTGAGTTTCCATCACAGGCATCGACCTTCTGAGACAGAGCAGTACTGTTGATAAAAAAAACCCTAAGCTAGAAAAGGTCTCGTGGGAGGGGAGATGCACAGAGACCTGTGTGGCGGGTAAGCCTGCCTCCACCTTTGTTCCCGGAAATCCTCTGAAATAAGATCAGTGCTGGTGAGAATTACTGTGGACACCGCGTCACGGCGACTGAATCAGCGGGGGTCTTACAATTTCCACAGGGGCGATGCTTCGCACCAGCTGCTGCAGGAGCGTGGCTTCGCAGTACGGGAACTTCCTGATGCTCTCTCTCACGACTTTCTCTTGATACACTGGGAAGCCGTCAGCAGCGCGGCCCCTTAGCAAGCTGAAAGACAGTTGGTGAAGAGTAACCGGCACTGAATCCCCAGGCATGAACTCCCAGCTGAACCCAGGGAGCTTTCTGCTGTTTCTTGCTATTTAAGATTTTCAGGGTCTCTTCCTCCAACTGCTGCTCCCTGGCCTTGCTGGGTTTCCAGGCCTTGGGTGCGGGGTGTATGCAAAGATGAGGCCTGGGGAGAAAGCTGAGCCCTCTATGGACTAGCTGGTCACTTACGACCACACCAGTTACTCGCACGAAGAAGGGCAGCTCTCAGCGAGTCCCCTCCTCTGACTTACCTCCCCTTTCTCAGCAAAGCGTCGGGAGAACCTGATCTCCGCTGACGAGAGGATGAGGGCGCCATGCAGGTACCGAGGGACAGTCACTGAGCTACACTGAGTGCCCCTGTCATGTCTCCAATTCCTCACGTGTCCATCAGTGATGACAAGAAATCACGGTAAAAAGTACAAAATGGAATATCATGCCTGCTTCTTTCTTTTTTCTTTTTTTTAACCTTGCTGTTTATTGCATCAGTGTTGTGGTGCAGCAGGTTCAACTGCTGCCTGCAATGCAGCATCACGTGTGAGCACAAGTTCGGGTCCCAGTTGCTCTCCTTCTGATCAAGCTCCCTGCAAATGTGCCAGGAAAGCAGTGAACGTGGCACAGGTTCTTGGGCCCCTGGTACCCACATAGGGGAGACCCAGAAGGAGTTCCTGGCTCCTGGCTTCAGCCTGGCCCAGCCCTGGCTATTGCAGCCATTTGAGGAATGAACTAGCAAATGGAGATCTCTCCCTCTTTCTCTGTATATTTTAAATAAATAAATGAATCTTTGACTTTTTTTGGTATGTATTTTCATTTTATTTGAAAGGCAGAGAGAGGAGGGAGAGAGAAAGAAAGAGAGAGAGAATATCTTTCATCCATTCATTCACTCCCCAAACGCCTGCAATGGCCAAGTTCTAGGCCAGGCTGAAGCCAAAAGCCTCGAACTTAACTTGGATCTCCCACGTGGGTGACTGAGTCATCTCTTCGTGCCTATCAGGGTGAACATTAACAGGAAGCTGGACTGGAAAGTCCAGTAGCTGGACCTGAACCAGACACTCTGTTATGGGATGCAGATGTCCCAAGTGAAGATTTGACCATGAGACCAAATGTCTGCCCTGTCCCTGCTCCCTGAAGACCGAAAGTGATCCCCCAAGACTGCAATTGCTGCTAAAATGTTTCATTCTCAAATCTATGATGAAGCTTCACCTAATAAAACGCCATGCCCTTGAGTGTATCTTAAACGCGACAGGGGAAGAAGAGTACCTTTTGATCAAGGTGTCCAGTTTGTTCTCTCCATCTTTTAGGAAGTTCATGCATTTCTGAAAGATGCAGCTGAGGTAGTGCATTTTCATGGCTAACACTTCGTTCATGTCTCTCTGCTTCATGCACTTCTCACAGATCAAGTCCATCACTCTGTAGCACTTTTTCAGGGCCTCTTCTTCCGCCAGCAGGGGGTTCTCATTCACCAGCATCACGATCTAGAAAAACGTCCAGTAGACTGAGAAACTCAGATCAGGTAGCTCGGGCCGGCGCTGTGGCGCAGTGGGTACAGCTGCTCCCTGTGGCACTGGCATCCCATATGGGCGCTGGTTCGAGTCCTGGATACTCCTCTTCGGATCCAGCTCTCTGTTTTGGCCTGGGAAAGCAGTAGAAGATGGCCCAAGTCCTTGGGCCCCTGCACCCACATGGGAAGACCCAGAAGAAGCTCCTGGCTCCTGGCTTTGGATTGGCCCAGCTCCGGCCGTTGCAGCCATTTGGGGAGTGAACCAGAAGGTGGAAGACCTTTCTCTCTGTCTCCCCCTTTCTCTGTATGTAACTCTACCTCTCAAATAAATAAATCTAAAAAAAAAAATTAAATAGCTTGCTGAGTTGATTTCACAAGGCTACCAGATAAAGTCTCTCCTAAGCTCACAACGCTGCTCTACTGGCTCAAATCAGAATGTAGGCTGCCACCAACCACAGAAATGAAACCACCACAGAAGGGCTGGGATTGCTTCACCTCCCTGTGTTAAAGCTGTAATGTGATCTGCCTGTGTTCAGTACAACACTCACAGTCCCTGGTTTGCTGTCTCTGCTAAAAGCACTTTTACTCAAGAGGCACATGACACAACTGCACACCTTTTATATTTAGAATCAAAGCACTGAGCAATCACTTTTGGCTAAAACTGTCAAGTTCCAGATTGTCATGGCAAGGAGAACCAGTTTTTTTTTTTTTTTTTTTTTGTAAGATTGATTTATTTATTTGAAAGGCAGAGCTAGAGGGAGGGAGGGAGGGAAGGAAGGGTAGGGAGAGAAAGAGAAAGAGAGAAAGAGAAAGAGAAAGAGAAAGAGAAAGAGAAAGAGAGAGAGAGAGAGAGAGAAAGAAATATCTTCCATCTATTGGTTTACTTCCTAAAATGCTGCAATGGCCAGAACTGGGCTAATCCAAAGCCAGGAGCCAGGAGCCAGGAGCCTCTTCCGGGTCTCCTATGTGGGCCCAAGCACTTGAGCCATCTTTCACTGCTTTCCCAGACACATTAGCAGGGAGCTAGATCAGAAGTGAAGCTGGGACTCAAACCGGCACCCATATGAGATACTGGCAATGTAGGTGGTGGTTTTACCTACTACACTGCAGCGCCGACCCCTGTAATTCTTATTAATCATAAGAAAATGATATTTTTACAGAAAGAACTCTAGAAATGAAATGCGTTTTACTCTCCAGTGAACTGCACTTCTCTGTGGAAGTTTTCCTGATGAGGCTTCCAATCACACACAGTAAAGGGAACAGGCCAAACAGGAGACCATCCACACACAGCCTCAAGAGCGGGACTATCAGAGCTACTGAATCTTACACACCAAGCCCCGTGAGATTAGGCTCGAATGAGTGCGCTGAGCAGTACTTTTCATTGGCTTCTTTATGGGGTAGATCACTTGAAGTGGAGCTGCATAGGGCAGCCCTACAAACCCACGGTGGTTTGCAGCAGTAATAAAAACATGTGTGTACCGCAGGCATAGGTGCATGCACATGGCAGAGTCACTGCTGCAGTTAAAAACTCATCCTGTGGGACCAGCGCCGTGGTGCACTTGGTTAATCCTCCACCTGTGGCGCCGGCATCCGATATGGGCGCCGGTTCTAGTCCTGGTTGCGCCTCTTCCAGTCCAGCTCTCTGCTGTGGCCCGGGAAAGCATGGAAGATGGCGCAAGTGCTTGGGGCCCCTGCACCCACGTGGGAGACCTGGAAGAAGCTCCTGGCTCCTGACTTCGGATCGGTGCAGCTCCGGCTGTAGTGGCCATTTGGGGAGTGAACCAACAGAAGGAAGACCTTTCTCTGTCTCTCTCTCTCACTGTCTGTAACTCTATTTGTCAAATAAATAAATAAAATCTTAAAAAAAACTCATCCTGGGGATTCTAAACCTCAGGGAATAACAGGTAGCAGATATCATGAATCGGATCCTTTTCCTTAAACACAAAGAAAGATCATGAAGTAAAACCTATGCCGTGTCTCCTATTTGGAAATCTAACACAGACTGAATGTCCCCGAGGAATTAAAAGAGAAAATTTCACTTTTTTTTTTAAATTTTTTAAAATTTATTTTAAAGGTAGAGTTGGGGGCGGGGGGAGACACAGACAGAGAAAGTTAAAGAGAGAGCTATCTTTTATCCACTGGTTCACTCCCCAGATCTGCAATGGGGTCAGACCAAAGCCAGGAGCCAGGAGCTTCACCTGGGTCTGCCATGTGGGTACAGGGGCCCAGGTACGGTGGGCCATCTTCTGCTGCTTTCACAGACACATTAGCAGGGTGCTGGATCAGAAGTGGAGCAGCTGGGTTTCAAAACGGCACCCATGTGGGATGCCAGCACCGCAGGTGGTGGCTTTAACTTGCTCTGCCACAACACTGGCCTTGTATTTCACTTATTTTTGACAGTACTAGATTTGACTTACTATTTTACTTAGAATGTAACACTCAATAATATTAGACTTAATGGACTAAATATAATCAGAACCCGTACTGGTAAATCTACTGCTTACTTCCCCTCAAAAACAGGTATCAAAAAATTAATCTGTGGTGACAACGACTCATTGAAACTATCTGCTTATAACTACAATCCTTTAACTATAACTGCAATCAATTTTATATATGGCATTTATAATCAAAGAATAGGATCTTAAAACTGAGGATGCTTTTTTTAAAAAAAAATATCTCAAATGGAACTCAGTTGATGGTATTTTATTTGAAGACGTGGTCTTTATTTGAAAATACGCAGCAAATATACACAGAGAGACACGATGACGACAGTGGTGCCCCGAGTTTACGGCAGCACTCACACAGCTACGCACACGAGAGCAGCATCGGCCTGGGTTTCCTTCCTGTTACTGCTGCAGCATGATGTAACAGGTTATAAAGGAAATCCTTATTACTAGTTACGGAAGAGGAGGGAAGAGGTTCCTGTTGGTATAAGCCTGGATGAATCTTCCCTCTCAGAGGACTGCCTACCTCAGAACTTGTTTATGCAGTGGCACTTTGAATTCTTTTAATGTTTAAAATCTCATTGTTAAAAACTGCCGAGTCAGCAACCCTTGGCATGAAAGTAAGCAAACATGGTGGGGGGAGGCTTGCTCTGCATAGGATGCTGCCTCCTTTCCACGTGCAGATCCTGCTCGGCTGGGCTGCCCTGTTTCCTGTGACTGTGTTCTTCTCCTGGATATGTTCTGGGCATCAGCACGATTCCCCAAGTCCCTAATGGAAACAAACACAGGCTCATTGCTAGAGCAGCCACTCCACCTGCACACAAATGTAGAAGTGCTGCATGTGTTGGAACGCAAAGGTGGTTACGAGCTGGGGCGAATCTGTGTGTGTGTGTGTGTGTGTGTGTGTGAGAGTGTGAGAGAGAGAGAGAGAGAGAGAGAGATTTTCTATGGTGGCTCCACGTGACTCTTTAATAGTATTCCACAGAAAGAACGACGGGAGCATGACAAGGGGTAAAGCAGTGGACATGGGCCATCACAATAGCAACTGGGGCAGTTTTTATATCCAAAATCCAAAGCATGGATAACAGAAAGGGTTTCAAGCAAAGAGAGTACATACGTCCACAAAAAACATGGCGGAATGAAGGAAGCCACTACAGTCATGGAAGAGTCTCCCTTCTAAAAGTCAGTGCTCTACAAAATTTTCCATAGGCTATTTCAAGTTATATATACCTTTGCAATGCATTGCCTACACAAACACACACGCTCAACCTAATTTAACCAAGGCATGTGCCTTTAAAGATAATTGAGGCGTCCACCAATTCCTAACACCATTTTAACCCTCAGAGAATGGGTTCCACAGAAGCATCAAAAAGTATCCCACCGAGCCTGCTGCGATCTGAAGTGGTAGAAACATAAATGGCAAAGACAGGGAGTAAGCCTGAAGAAACTGCACCCCCGCCCGCCGCCTGCACAAGCACCATCCTGTGCGGCGACGTGCGGAACAGGCAGGGGGTTGGGGGGAAAGGAGCTGCAGGCTGCTCCCACAATTTCTGTCCGGCAGCCCTGCGCTTGGGATCCACCCCCCGGCATGCAAACCCAGCACGCCCCCTTTCCCGTGCACTGCCTCTCGGAGGCTGGGATGGAGCGGCACCATGGACGCTTGGAGCTGAACTCCACGTGAAGACGCCCTGAAGCTCCCAGAAAAGCTCCCGCACACTAAGCCCCACCCAAACCCCACCCGTTTGTACCTTCAGTTAGGGCCCCACCCCCACCCCAGAAAGGGGGCTGCTGCTCTGCTTTGAACTCCTTATCTCACACTGGGGTCAAGGACTTGGAATGAAAACTGGGAAACCCATTCCTACAACACTGGGAGGGAGGGAAGGAGGGAGGGAGAGACTCGCTGACCCCAAGGAAGCTGCATGGTTGCAAAGATTAAATTCTCAAAAACCTCGAGTCTTCTAAAATCCAAGCCGTGCAGGCTGCACTTCTGTGTCTTAGGATGCGTCACCCACCTCTCCCTGCAGGCACAGAAAGCCATGAGGGAAGACACCGACCTCCCTGCATTATACACCCATGCAGGGAAAACGTCAACCTTTGACCCAGCCGCAGTCCTGCCGGCCTCACCGCTGAGAACCACCAGCAGATCTCCACCCTCGGCATGGGGGGCTGTGATGGGCACTGAAATCTGAGAAAGGGCAGCAGCCCTGCAGCGCACAGGGGGTTGTGCAGTTGCCTGTGATGATTCATTGAAGAGATTACGCTCATTTGGATTTTATAAACCAAAATGGTAAGAAATCTGAAGACAACAGCGGTGAAGACAGTTCAGGGCAGCTTTTGGGAACCCCTGGAGGAGCTGTGTTAGTCGGAGATGCCAGGCAGTCACGGGCATTGAAGAGGTGATCCTGGCTCCGCCGGAGGCTACTTCCTAGAAGGTAACTCATTGGAAGTGTTCCTGGTAGGGGTCTAGACCCTCTTCTGCAGGCCTGCACCCGGGGCCCCAGCTGCTCCGAGTGCTGGAGGCTGAGGGCTCAGAGAGGTCTTCCTCTCCAGAAACCTGACCTCACTCAAGGCAGCTACGGGGGCAGTTGGGATACCAGTCATACCCTGTCCCATACAAGAGGGCCTGGTTTTCAGTCCTGGCTCTGTTCCCCATCCCAGCTTCCTGCTGATGTACTCTGCTCAGGTACCTGGGTCCCTGCCACCCATGTCGGAGACTGGCATTGGGTTCCTGGCTCCCAGCTTTGGGCATCTGGGTAGTGAACTAGCAGATGGGAGCTCTCTTCCTCTATCTGTCTTGTTCTTTCTAGCTCTCTGAATGAATAAGTAAAAGCAGCCATTTCACTTGCTGCTATCCAAAAGGCTGTCTTTTCCCTCTGGGCACAGCCCCAGCCAAGGACAGGCTGATGGATTCCAAGCTGGACACCCCTGTGCCTCTGTGCTGGCTTTGCTCCCAACCGAGCTCCCCATGAGATGAGTTGGAAGTCAAATTCTCCTCTTCACTCAGCTTTCCCTCCTTCTCCATCTGTTTCCCCCACTCTGTTTTTTTTTTTTTTTTTTAAGTATTAATTTTATTAAGTTGAAAGCGTTACAGAGAGAGGTAGAGCCAAAGAGAGAGAGGTCTTCCATCTGCTGGTTCACTCCCCAGATGGCCGCAACTGTGCTGATACGAAGCCAGGAGGTAGGAGCTTTTTCCAGGTCTCCCAAGGACTTGGACCATCTCCCACTGCTTTCCCAGGCCCATAGCAGAGGCCTAGATTGGACGTGGAGCAATCAGGACTTGAACTGACATCCCTGTGGGATTGCCAGCACTACAGGCTGGGGCTTCAACCTGCTGTGCCACCACGCCAGCTCCTGTTTCCCTCACTCTCTTCCAGGTTTCAATGAATCCATTGAACAAGAGAGTCCACTGCAAGCTGTACACCTGCAAATCCCCGAGACAGTTAGGATCCCACACGAGAAGAGCAGCTTAAACTCCGAAGCAGCATGTCAATAGCAAGCGTGCAACATGAACTACCTTGACAGGGTGAAGGTTCGTGGTGGTGATGACCTTATGCAGCGGGCCTGCCAACTTCGGGGGCAGCTTTGGCTCTTTATCCAGTCCCTGGGGCTTGGTGTAATAATCCAGTCTCTCTCGTGGAAAGAAATTGTTGATTATGGTCACACAGTCATGTTGACCTTTCAATGGAAAAACAGAAAATGTTTCATTTTATTATAAAAATGAGACCGTCTCCGGATGTCTTATTTCTGTGATGTCAATTCTGTCTTCTTATGAAGTCAACATGCATTAATATTTCTATTTTCCAGGAAAGAAGAGTAAAGGAAGAAGAGCAGAGGTAATATATTTTAGAGAGGGGCTGGAGTTGTGGCACAGCCAATAAATCCTCTGCTTGTGACACCAGCATCCCAAAGGGTGCTGGTTCGAGTCCTGGCTGCTCCACTTCTGATCTAGCTCCCTGCCAATGGCCTGGGAAAGCAGAAGATACCCCAAGTGCTTGGGTCCCTGCCGCTTACATAGGAGACCCAGAAGAATCTCCTGGCTTTGGCTTGGCCCAGCCCCAGCTTTTGCAGCCATCTGGGCAGTAAACAGTGGATGGAAGATATCTCTCTCTCTCTCTCTGTCTCTGTCTGTCTCTCATTCTCCTTCTTCAGCTCTTTCAAATAAATAAATAAATCTTTTTAAAAAGGTATTTTAGAAAACATTTATAAGCATTCTTTGAAAAGTCCAAAAAGATCTTTAAAGAGTCCACAATACACAGGAATTATATAGATCTCACATATACAAATAACAGCCTACTTATAACTGACCTTGAGTATTTCACAACAGTTGGCTGGAAGCAAACATGTCTTTTTCCACCCCTACACAAATGGCTGTCACTCTTGCTTAACCACACCCAGTGGCACTCACACAAAATGTAAAGGTACCGTCTGGGAAGTGTTATTACTGAGCTCTCTCCAGCTCCCCTGATTTTGAGAAAAACTCTGCGCTGGCGCAGCCTGGCCTCCATGTGCTGCCTCCCAGGGGTCTCTGAGCCATCTCTGGTGCTGGACGTGTGCTCTGGGAAGTCGCCTCCTCCATCCTGGTGGAGCCTGGAAGCTGCTGCCACTGCCTCCCCCAGCGCCCTCCCTACCTCTGCAGGCCCAGAGGAAGTCTCCCTGGGCAAGCAGGCTCAGGGAGCTCCTCCACAGACTTCTCGTTCCTCTGCACCCGTCAAGGGACCAGTGCTGGGGAAGGTACCCGGCCGGCCCTTGTGGCCCCTTGCCCAATGGGCCACGTGCTTGGGAGCGTCTTTTTGACCCTGCAGGGCAATTTCACGGCGGCTTGGCTGCACCTGCACTTGAGATGGGTGGAGGCGGGCTGCACTATGGGCCAAGTCACTCCTGGTGCTGGAGGGGAGCAGTGGAGGCCGTTGGCCCCTGGGCATCCCTGGGAGAACCCCACCATGGGACAATTCCTTCTTGTACCTCAGCTAGTGTACAGACCCTGGACCCACAGACACAGGACCACAGCTCCAGGGACCTGTTGGCTCCACCTGGCTGCTTAAGTGTGGCAGCAGCTCCAGGGCTCTAGCTACAGCGGCCCCAGTGAGTTTAGAAGCCAAACACTCGCCCCTGTGGCCACAGCCAGCAAACACCTGCACTTCAGATACACAGGTTCCATCACAGCATATGACCAGATTTTCAAGAACCACAATCCCAGGTGTTAAAAATTAATAGGGGGCAGGCACTGTGGCGTGGTGGGTAAAGTTGCCACCTGCAGTGCCAGCATCCCATGTGGGTGTTGGTTCGAGTCCTAGCTGCTCCACTTCCAATCCAGCTCTTTGCTATGGCCTGGGAAAGCAGCGGAGAATGGCCCAATTGGGCCCCTGCACCCATGTGGAAAGACCCAGAAGCAGCCCCTGGCTCCTGGCTCCTGATCAGTGCAGCTCCAGCCGTTGTGGCCATCTGGGGAGTGAACCAGCTCATGGAAGACCTCTCTCTCTGCCTCTCCTTTTCTCTCTGTGTAACTGACTTTCAAATAAATAAATAAATAAATCTTTAAAACAAACTAATAGACTGAAAGAGGCAACCTGGCTTACCACTGAGAACCAAATGAGTTAATGTAAAAATCAAATGGACCACATATCTCAAAAACGCAGAAAAAATCCAGACACAGAAATCATGGAAAGATAAGAAGCAAAGGTCAAGTCCAGGAAATCCGGTGATGAAAAATAACAGAGGGGCCAGCACTACGGTGCCGTGGGTGAAGTTCATCTTGCATGAATACCGGTTCAAGTCCTTGCTGCTCCACTTCCGATCTACCTCCTTGCTTACGCACCTGGGAAGGCAACAGAAGAAGGCCCAGGTGTTTAGGGCCTTGCCACCCACATGGGAGACCAGGATGGAGATCTAGGCTCTTGGCTTCAGCCTGGCGCAGCATGGGCTGTTGCAGCCATTTGGGGAACGGATGGGGGTTGCAAAATGGGCAAACAATGCCTTGGGGCTGGAGAGGGGTGAGGTATAGTTGAAACTATGTCAGTCACATTGAGGAAAGACACACTCGTGTGTGCACCCACACAAGCACAACTCAGCACCGAGTAAAATGGAGGAGGAACGCAAGCGTATGAGTGATCACAGTAAACATGCAGGAGCTAGCTCCCTGGGAAAAGACAACCACTGTGGGTTATGAAACAAAGCCCACCTCGGCTATCGACAAATGCAGAAACCAAAACAGGGATCAGGAATGGCTATAAAACTGCAAAGAGCAGAACTAGGAAATCAGCAAGACAAAGAGTGGCAGTAACAGAACCAACAGCAATGTCACACTAAAAAGTGAAAACAATTTCACAGGAGGGGCTGGCACTGTGGTGTAGTGGGTAAAGCTGCCACCTGCAGTGCTGGCATCCCTTATGGGTGCCAGTTTGAGTCCCGGCTGCTCCACTTCCGATCCAGCTCTCTGCTATGGCCTGGGAAGGCAGTAGAAGATGGCCCAATTCCTTGGGCCCTTGCACCTGCGTGGGAAGACCTGGAAGAAGCTCCTGGCTCCTGGCTTCGGATTGGCACAGCTCCAGGCTTTGCAGCCAATTGGGGAGTAAACCAGCGGATGGAAAACTTCTCTCTCTGTCTCTCTGTCTCTCTCTCTGCCTCTCCTTCTCTCTCTGTGTAACTCTGACTTTCAAATAAACTTTTAAAAAAATTTCACTGTGACAAAAAAAGATATGCCTGTTATCACTACTATTATTTCTTCTTACTTGGAGTCTTTAGCTAGTTCAAATAGAAAGTAAAATGAAATTGAATAGTTGGAAAAAGTCTCAGAGATGCTAATAAAATGACATAAAAAATCACAAATCAATAGCTTTTCTCTTTATAACCCATAAGCAGCTAGAGGTGGTGGTGAAAATGTTTTAACAATAGTGGCAATAACTATGAACAACACAGAAATAAGTTTTTTAAAGTAAAGACTTATATGAAGGAACCCATGAAATAATACTGAAAGATCAAAAATAATTTTTAAAAAAGCATGGTATGGGGCCGGCGCCGTGGCTCAATAGGCTAATCCTCCGCCTAGCGGCGCCGGCACACCAGGTTCTAGTCCCGGTTGGGGCGCCGGATTCTGTCCCGGTTGCCCTTCTTCCAGGCCAGCTCTCTGCTGTGGCCTGGGAAGGCAGTGGAGGATGGCCCAGGTGCTTGGGCCCTGCACCCCATGGGAGACCAGGAAAAGCACCTGGCTCCTGGCTCCTGCCATCGGATCAGTGCGGTGCGCCGGCCGCGGCGGCCATTGGAGGGTGAACCAACGGCAAAAGGAAGACCTTTCTCTCTGTCTCTCTCTCTCACTGTCCACTCTGCCTGTCAAAAAAAAAAAAAAAAAAAAAAAAAGCATGGTATGGATGGGAAAGCCACAACGCCATACACATATTAATTCTTTGCAGATAACTGTATAACCATTTAGTTTGAAAGAATTTAACGTACCAGGAATGTGATATTTCAACAGGAAAATGTGGGTTTAATAAATGATGCTATCACAATTAGCTATGTACTAAGGGTAAAATGAATTCCAAAATAATAAATTCTGGAAGCACACACATGCATGCATACACACACACAGAAATCATAAAAACAAAATGAAGGACATCTAGGAAAAGCTTGTATAGCCCCCTGGTCAAGAACACCTCTTTTAGTAAGACAAGAATTACAGAAGCTATAAAAGAACAAGTAAGATCCTGAAAAACAAATTTTTTACAGCAAAAGTCCTCCATAAAGTCCAAAGGGGCAAACAAGACTGGCGAAAGATACTTGAACCATATTTGGTGGATAAAGGGTTAGCGTCTACAAATACACCTTAGTCTCCCCAAAACAGAAAAGGACAATCAAGACGGAAGGTGAATAAAAAAACAGGAGCAGGCAATAAACAAAGGAGGAGCACAAGGAGTTTGCTTCCACTGCTAGCGAGGGGAAAGTAAAGTCACAATAGGTCACGTTTCTAACTATCACACCAGCAAAAATAGAAGAATGATGACATCCCAGTTCTGATAAGGATGCTACTGTCAATTGCTAGGTCCTTTTGAAGGCAATCGAGATTCACATTAAAATTAAAGCTATACACCTTTTGTCTCGGCAACTTTACCTCCGGGAATACATCTCACAGATGTTCAAGTGCTAACGTGTACAAGGCGTGAAGATCAAGGATGATTATTGCCTTATTTGGAGTGAAGTGGTTGAAAATCTGCCGGGACAGCAGAGCCAAACACACACTGGGGGACATCTGTACTATGCCATACTACGCAGCTGTTGCTGTAACTGAATTCATTTCTACCTGAGCTGGGAGAGGCTGCCCTTCTCAGTACCGGAGAGCCAAGATGACAAGTCACAAGCAATCTTTACTGTATGATTGGTCCCAGTTTTCAAAAGACAACAAGAATTTTGTTATGTGGGTGTACACTTGAAGCAACAAAAGGGGAGAAACGAACTGTTTTTAAAGGGGCCAGCATCGTAGTACAGCAGGTTAACCTACTGCCTAAGACGCCTGCAACCCACATGGGCACTGGCTCTAGCTCCAGCCACTCCACTGTGGATCCAGCTCCCTGTTAATGTACCTTGGAAAGTAGCAGAAGATGGTCGAAGTGCTTGGGCCCCTCCACCCACACAGGAGACCTAGATGGAGTTTCATGCTCCTGACTTCTGCTGGCCCAGCCTTGGCCATTGAGGCCATCTAGGGAGTGAAGCAGTGTATGGAAGATTCTCTCTTTTTCTCTCTCTGTCTCTCTCTCTCTCTCCCTCTTGCTCTAACTCTGCCTTGAAAATAAATGAATAACCTTTTTTTAGAAGGCTAATTATATAGCAAACATAAAGGCAACTGAAAATGTGCAGTGTAATTTTCTGTCTGTGAACTCAGTGGGGACATTCACCGATGAGACATCAAACACAAACACTACTCTTATTTTAGGATGGAACAGGCGGCAACCTCTACCTTACATTTTTGTTGCGCCTGCAGCGTTTAGACAAAGAACAGAGCATTGCAGTAAGGCCTGGAAGAACAGGCTCCTGCCCTCTCCGTCGTGTGATCTCGACATAGTGATTCTATCGCTGGCTCCTGCCACATTACCTCGTGGACAAATGTTGCAAACATTTGCTTTGTTGCACAGATACCAGAAAACTAAGGTCTGCCCCCAATCCTGTGACTAATCCATGGTGGGCATGAACCAAGACCCAAGGCTCCAGATTTCTAGTCCAGTGTTCCTTCCCCGCTGTACTGATACCCTCATCATTAGCTTGGAGGTGAGCTGGGGAGCCTGACTCCAGTGGATAAAATATCTGCAGCTTGCACTTTTCTCATATCATCCTGAAATTAAGAATATTCAAACAAAGCTGTCATACTGTGACTGAATGTCTAGCTTAATCAATGGCACCTGTTAGTAGTTTCTTTTTTTTTTTTAAAGTTCTATTTATTTTACTTGAAAGTCAGATTTACACAGAGAGAGAAGGAAAGGCAGAGAGAGAGAGAGAAAGGTCTTCCATCTGCTGGTTCACTCCCCAACTGGCCGCAATGGCCAGAACTGTGCCAATCTGAAGCCAGGAGCCAGGAGCTTCTTCCAGGTTTCCCATGCGGGTGCAGGGGCCCAAGGACTTGGGCCATCTTTTACTGCTTTCCCAGACCACAGCAGAGAGCTGGACTGGAAGTGGAGCAGCCGGGACTTGAACCGGAGCCTATATGGGATGCTGGCACTGCAGGCGGTGGCTTTCCCCTCTACATCACAGTGCTGGTCCCACCTATTAGTAGTTTCAAAAACTTACTAAAATACAATTTAACATGCTATACCATTACCATCCACGTACCTAATTCCTCCTGTTTCTTAAATGTCAATTTTCTCAAATGTCAATGGCTTAAATGTCAATTTTCTCAAAACCCCCTTGGAATAGGATAGGGGGCTCCCCTTTTCTATGGAAGAGTTCCACGGCCCTCTTTGGTTCCCCCCTGGAGAATATTGTCACACTGCTTGTCACCGCTCTTAGTTTCTAACTGCCACAAAAGCATGGACATCCTCCATCTTGTTTGCCACTGCAACCAAGGCACCTAGAATGAAGCTTGGTGCAGAGGCTGTGAACATTGTTTGTTTAATGAAGAATTAGCCCCATGGGGCCATTTACTTTACTCTCAATAAATCATGCTTCTATCTTTGCTTTCCTATCAATGGACCCTCTTACCAAGTGAGTGAGGCCAAAATATCAACCATTTATTCCCAGTCTGCTCTAACCAGGATTAGCATGGCAAGGATTACTGGGCACACAAATGAAATGTTTGTGGTTGAAGAAAATGGTAACAAAGCAGGCTGGCGCTGTGGCGGAGTGGGTAAGGCCGCTGCCTGCAGTGCCAGCATCCCATACGGGAGCCAGTTCTAGTCCCAGCTGCTCCACTTCTGATCCAGCTCTCTGCTATGGCCGGGGAAAGCAGTAGAAGATGGCCCAAGTCCTTGGGTCCCTGCACCCAAATGGGAAGACCCGGAAGAAGTTCCTGGCTCCTGGCTTCAAATCGGCCCAGTTCCAGCTGTTGCGGCCATCTGGGGAGTGAACCATCAGATGGAAGACCTCTCTCTCTCTCTCTCTCTCTCTCTGCCTCTGCACTTTCAAGTAAGTAAATAAACCTTTAACAAAAAAAAAAAAAGAAGAAAGAAGGAAAATGCTAATGAAGAAGCAAACAGTCCTTTAAAAGAAAGAATTGAAGGACTGTTGTAATTATAAATAGTAATAACTACACCATGTAAAGTTCTTTCAGTCTTTCAACTCTCCTAATCCTTACAATGACCCATAACCCCTTGTCAAAGTCAGAATCACCCAGTACTTTGCTATTAAGTGGTCCAGGCAGAATTTCAGCTCAGAATCACTGAATCCACAATTCATGTTCTTGAACATCAGGTTAAACCACCTCCATTAGAGAAATGACATACAGTCGTTCAAAGCATCTGACTGCAATTCACAAGGGCCCATCCACCACCTTCGGTCACAAAGTAGAAATTCAAAACAGTTGTTCAGTTTCCCCAAAGTCTCAGTAAGTATTTCATTCATTTAGACAAAGTGGACCTTAACCACTTTTGCTTTGTTTTCAAAGTCAGTAGGACAGTGTTTGCATGTTGAGAAGCAAAATGCTATTTTTTTCCGTAAGGAAAATCTCACGTAAAGCCACAGCAGACACTCACCCACAAAGGCTGCCATCTGAGCTGCTGTTCTGCCTACGGAGTTGACCACATCCGTCTCTGCCCCAGCTTCCAGCATGGCCCATGTGATGTCTTTGTTACCTAGAGTTAAACGCAATGCACCTGTTAGCACTCAGGAATGCACCCTTTAAACTCCTGCTTCTGAATCAGCTGTACCCTCTTCCTGCTAATGGTCTCCACAGTATTCCATTGCATGGACAGTTTCCCTTTTTTCCAAATTAGGAATCGTATCAGTATGGACTAAAATGCCATGGAACCTACTTAGAAATTAACATTTTCCGAGAAATGAAGCAGGCAATACGAAAATGGCATGGAATTGAGAATCATTTTTTAAACAAGATGAATTACATTTTCCCAGTGATAAATGCTTTGTGTAACATTAAAACAAACATGGGGGGAAAAATACAGAGAGAAAAGATAAAATGGACTGAAATCCCCCTTGAAGACGTCTAAGCCACCCCTCCCACCTGCTGGCTGCGGAACACCAGGCAATGGCTGGGAATCCACCCTGCAGCCTTTCCTGCCTACCCATATGTATTTTCTTAGATCGCCTCAATGTTACAGATAACTCCACTCAATTATAGATAATATTTCTCAACCATTCTTATTCAGCAAATAATAAGCAGCATGAAGCAGACTAAGGTTTTAGCTGGATCAGCATTTAATACATAAATTCCAGTAAGGAATTCCAGTAATCCCAGCTCTATCACTGCAGCTATTTGATCAAGAGAGCAAAGCAGCTCTCCTATTGCTTCAAAATACACTGACAGAAATCATCATTTGATTTCAACAAGACACAGATCACCAAATAACTCACATCATACACTGTAGCTTTTTCAGAAACTAACTGCTACCATTCCTTTCCCCACAAGTTGACCTTAAAGTTAACAGAACCAAAACAGCAATCAACTTATCCATACATATTTACAAAAATGTGTACAGATAGCGCACATTAGTGAACAGAGTAAATGCTGAGACCTCACCCGAGAGCGCGGCAAACATGAGGGCCGTGTAGCCATGTTCGTGCTGATGACAATTTACGTCGGCTCCGTGGCGCAGTAGCAACTCGCACATGTCAAGTTTTCCCTTATACGCTGCGTGCATCAGAGGACTCATTCCATTCTTCAGGGGAAAGGAAAAACGCATCGAGTTTACTTAGTGGCCTTTTCTTTACCTATCAACAGTTCCTATAACTACATTAATGTAGTTATGAGAGATTATGGAAGATCCACATAGAGAAGTAGATAATAAAAATACGATTACTTCATTACAGTTACATCATTATACAGCTGAGAACTTTAATTTGTATTTATGTTTCATTCTCTATGTGGATCTTCCATAATCTCTTGAGGAAATGAGGTTGTTTTCTTTCTTCTTTTTATTATTATTATTTATTTATTTGAGCGGTAGAGTTACAGACAGTGGGAGGGAGAGACAGAGAGAGAGGTCTTCCTTCCGTTGGTTCACTCTCCAAATGGCAGCAACAGCCGGATCTGTGCTGATCCAAAGCCAGGAGCCAGGAGCTTCTTCTGGGTCTCCCATGTGGGTGCAGGGGGCCAAGCACTTGGGCCATCTTCTACTGCTTTCCCAGGCCATAGCAGAGAGCTGGATCAGAAGAGGAGCAGCCAGGACCAGAACCAGCGCCCATATGGGATGCCAGGACTGCAGAGGATTAACTATTGCACCACAGCACCGGCCCCAAGGCTGTTTTCTTAGCTGAGGTGTTTTTGTTGTTGTTGTTGTTGTTTCTAACAGATCAGTAAACACATGCACACAGGACTTACTCAACCTCCCATAACCAGTAAATGGTTGGAGTGCAGACCAGAACCTGGGTTTCCCAGGGTTTTCATCTCTACCAAACATACCTAACTCCTACAGAAACACAGGAACATACAGACACACACACAAAATGAAGAAAATGCTCAAAACAAACAGGACGCTGTTGCGGGGGGAAAGCTGAGTCAAAGCGCAGCCCATCATTGCCATGGACTATTCTAAAGCTATAGCAACGGAATGAATTCATGAGTACCAACCGAATTGAAAACCGTTCCATGAGCTACTGCCCATGAGAAAGAGAAGGTGCATCCATTGCGTATTATAGTGGGATCATTTCCAAAACAGGGATCCCCAAAAATCACACACAAGGATGGAAGACATCTGGTAGTATTCCCATTAAGCTTCATTACGTGGTGTCCATGTGTTTGATGCATTTCCAATGGGATGCCCAGCCTCTACAGACTGGGTAGCTAACACCACTTTGGTCACTAAAGTGATGAGTTGTTTCCTCTAAGTGAATTTTCTCAGTAATTCAGTAAATGCTGAAGGTCGATATGGCTTTGGATGGAAATCCTGGCAACTCACATGATTTGACTTGCTCTCGAGGATTCCATGCTATTATCCTGAACCTAAGCCATCATATTGGTTTTTGTTTGTTTCTTGGGCAGAAAGGCAGGATTTACTAAAACACAAGGGATAGTGCACATTCAGACATGCATGTGGGCAACAGAGAGAGAGGGTGGGGGGAGAGGGGGAGAGAGGGAGAGAGGGAGAGTGGGAGAGAGGGAGAGGGGGAGAGAGGGAGAGAGAGAGAGAGAGGATTGCTCCCACCCAGGCTGGGGTGGTCCTTTTTATAGGACAAGGGTGCTGGGGCAGGGTGTGGGTTGGAGCTGCAAGGCCTGTGGTGATGTTCAGGAAGGTACCACGGCATCGGTGTGTGATGGAAAGCGAGGCTTGGCTGCAGGATGAGGAGGGGTGTACCGAGTCTTTGGCCCTGTTGAATTGGTGTAGAAGGGAATTGGATGGTGCACACGGCTTGGGCATGGGCAGTGCTCAGCTCCTTGCCCCTCACCGACCCCATCACAGAGTGTCTCGTCCTTCTCACCAGGTTACTGGCGTGACAATCAAGGAAGTCTGGACTTTTCAGGTGGCTGCAGAAGAGGCAACTCAGTGGGAACAATCAAAGCTTCTTCAAAGTAAAGAGAAAAAATTGGGGGCTGGCGCTGTGGTGCAGAGGGTTAAAGCCCCGGCCTGAAATGCTGGCATTCCATATGGGTGCCGGTTCTAGTCCCAGCTGCTCCTCTTCTGATGCAGCTCTCTGCTATGGCCTGGGAAAGCAGTAGAAGATGGCCCAAGTGCTTGGCCCCCTGCACCCACGTGGGAGACCTGAAAGAAGCTCCTGGCTTCAAATTGGTACAGCTCCAGCCATTGCAGCCATCTAGGCAGGGAACCAGCGGATGGAAGACCTCTCTCTCTCTCTCTCTCTCTCTCTCTCTCTCTACCTTTCTCTGTAACTCTGCCTTTCAAATAAATTAAATAAATCTTAAAAAAAAGAAAAAAAGAAAAAAAATGTCAGGGATAGTCTAACTTTAGGCTCCTCTTAGCTGGGTGTTTCTACAGGGATGGCGTATTTTCAGGCTGGGGGTGGCAAGGGGTATCAGAATCTCACTGCACAGAGCCAGCCAATGGAGTGCTGCCCACTCTAGGAGGCAAAAATGTACTGAGAGCATGCACGGGGGATAGCCCCTATGGATGACATAACCTGAACACACAGCACCATCAGAAACCACCACAAAGACAATGTTCGACACTGTGGTTAAAATACTGCACAGGACACCTGCTCCCCATAGTCGAGTGTCTGGTTTGAGCCCCAGCTCCTCTGCTTTCAATTCAGTTTCCTGTTTCTGGGCAGCCTGGGAGGCAGCAGGTGATGGCTCAAGTAGTTGGGTCCCTGCTACCACCTACGTGGTGCAGGCACTTGGGGAGTGAACCAGCAGATGGAAGATCTCTGTCTCTGACTCTCTACCTTTTACATACAATAAAAATAAATTATGTCTTAAAAACTGAAAAAGTGGGGGGGGAGACTACCACAAAGAGGCAAAAAAGAACCTCTTGTACAGATTTTTAGAATATAGATTTCAACCAGGAAGTTGAGTAATTTTTGTTCATCCAGACAGGCAGGTGTCAATCACCCAGCAATTCCACCCTACAGTTGGAATTTATCTAGCTCTGAGAATAACCTCAAAATTGCAGAATTGTCCTAGTTAAAAAAAAAAAAAAAAAAAAAAAAGGAAAGGAAGAAAGCTTTTAACAACGGGACAATCTGCCTGAGAGCAAAGGAGCCGTGCAAATCCCACATTGCACTGTCTTCCTTTTCTTGTGTTTCACCGTCATCTGCATTAATCACAGCTGTGCTGTCCCTGTCTCCCTACTTTCCTTCCCCTCATTTTCCTCTTCCTTCTTTTTACTCTGGATTTTTTTTTTTCATTCACCAACTGTCACTTTAACAGGAATTGTTTGTATACTTTTTGTTAGTTTTAACGATTTATTTATTTAAAAGAGTGGTGGGGGGAGAGGGAGGGAGGGAGGGAGTCAGGGAGGGAGAGACATTGTATCCAAATGCCCTCAACAACCAGGGTGGTCCAGGCCTAACCCAGGTTCCAGGAGCTCCATCCGGGTCTCCCATGTGGGTGGCAGGGGCCCAAGGACTTGGGCCATCTTCTGCTGCCTTTCCAGGCTCATTAGCAGGAAGCCGGGTTGGAAGCCTGAGGAGCTTGGACAGGAACTGGCAGTCTGTTCCCCACAGTCGAGTGTCTGGTTTGAGTCCCAGCTCCTCTGCTTTCAATTCAGCTGGCATCACAAGCAGCAGTTTAACCAGCTGTGCCTTAACACCTGCCCAGGAATAGGTTTTTAGATGCCACGCATGAGAGAGCGTCTTTCCGCAAGGGTAAAGAGCCATGCAGATCGTATCGTGCTACTCAATCTCTACGCTTGCTGTTTTTTCATGCTTATGGTGCAGTCTGTGTCTCCCATACCAGATTGTAGGACTAGGGTAGATTTTCCTGGCAAACTTGGGGCAAGTGACACATTTCTGCTACCTTTTCAATGAATTGGATATCACATATACTTCACTAGCTCTTAATCCAATTTTATAAGAATTTAGAACAGGTGCTGGCGTTGTGGTCCAGAGGGTTAAGCCACTCCTAGCTGCTCTGTTTCTGATCCAGCTCCCTGCTAATGTGCCTGGGAAAGCAGCAGAAGATGGTACAAGTATTTGGGCCCATGTACCCTTGTGGGAGACCCGGATGGAGAAACAGGCTTCTGGCTTCGGCCTGGCCCATTCCTGGCCAGTGAGCCATCTGGGGAGTGAACCAGCAAATGGAAGATATTTTCTGTCTCTCTAAATAGTCATCTTTTTATCCCATTTCTGTGCCTTTCAAATAAATAAAAATAAATCTTCAAAAAAAAGCAAAGAATTTAGAACAGTACAAAATGAAACAAATTTTGTATGCAATAATTACCATGCATTATCTTGGGTTCTTGGTACCATCTGTTGCTTATGGAAATATTTCAATGCATAAATGAAAAATAAATGATAGTGATAAATTCTGATGTGCCATAAAGATAAAACCACCATACTATAATTATTCATCCCTCCCTCCCTCCCTCCCTTTTTTTAGATTTTATTTATTTATTTGAGAGGCAGAGTTACAGAGAAAGGGAGAGACACAGAGGTCTTCCATCTGCTGGTTCACTCCCCAAATGGCTGCAATGGCCACAGCTGGGCTGATCTGAAGCCAGGAGCTTCCCCCGGGTCTCCCAAACAAGTGCAGGGGCCCAAGCACGTGGGCTATCTTCCACTGCTTTCCCAGGCCATAAGCAGAGAGCTGGGTCGGAAGAGGAGCAGCCAGGACATGAACAGGGGCCCATATGGGATGCCGGCACTGCAGGCAGAGGCTTAACTTACTATGCCACAGTGCCTGCCCCTAAATAGTCATCTTTTTATCCCATTTCTGTTTAATATCAACATAAAGAGGGGGCCCGCGTTTTTGACTAGCCAATTCCTAGAAGCATTTCACTTTCACACCAAACATCTCTGAGATCCAGTTTCAGTTCACAAGGACGAGAACTGTACAGATTACCCTGTTTCCAGCCCTCCACTTGCTAACATCTCACAATATCTAGAGAGCCTTAAACCTCTGACATCCTGGGGTCACTGTCACATGGGAATAAAAGCTCTCACCTTCACATTTCCCAGACCCAACCTTGTAAGCAGTTTGCTTCCGAACTGTGCGTGAAGAATGCGCTGGTACAATTCTTTGGATTCATAATCTCAAAAAAAAAAA